AGTACTAGGGCACACCCATAAGGGAGCATGCCCTGAGTGCTATCGAGTAGTTAAATGAGTTAGAAGCATTAGGAACTAGTATTGACGGGGTAACCCAGGTCGATAAAATGCTCAAGCTTCTGCCGAAAAGTTTTGACCAATTCCAGTTGAACTATGACATGCATGCGTTATGCACGGTTCTTCTGGAGTTGTTGGCTAGGCTTTATGCGGCAGAAGAGGTGCTAGTCGCCGAGCAGGCTGGACCTTCCAGGCCTCACAAGGGCAGGAAGAGAAAGAAGTCTGCAGGAAAGGCAAGGGCACATGATGCTCTGGTTGCTCAGCTACTGGCCCCTAACATTGTGGCAAAGAAACCGAAAGGGAGATGTCACAAGTGCAATAAGTCAGGACACTGGAAGGTCGACTGCCCTCTCCTCAAGAAAGGTAACTCTCTCGTTAATGTCATAGAAACTTGTTTAGCGGTTGTATCCACTAGAACCTGGTGTGTAAATACTGGAGCCACTGATCATGTCTGCAATTCATTGCGGGGGTTCCAGGAAACCAAACGACTTAGGGAGGGAGAGATCACCGTCTACATGGGCAATGCTACGAAAGTGGCGGCTGTTGTAGTGGGAGACGTTACTTTATCGTTTGATAGTAGTAGTTTGGTTTTGAGAAATTACCTTTATGTTCCTAGTTTTAGAAAGAATCTTGTTTCAGTTTCTAAACTCGTTATGGACGGATTTTCAGTTTCGTTTGATGACATGGTTATTATTCGTTTTGAAAATCATTACATATGTTGTGGTTCATTAGTTGTCAATTTATATGTTCTCAAACCAAACTCTCCCACAGTGCAACAAAATGAATTGAATAATGTCATAACTACATCTAATAAGAGGAAGGAGTCTTCGCCAATGAATCAAGCATATCTGTGGCACCTTAGACTTGGGCACATCAACCTTAGGAGGATTCAAAAGTTAGTGGCCAGTGGACATCTCGGTCCCTTGGAAGAGCACTATCCAACTTGCGAATCCTGCCTGAAAGGTAAGATGGCTAAGAGGCCGTTTACGGCAAAGGGGTATAGGAGCCAAAAAGTGCTAGGATTGATTCATTCTGATTTGTGTGGTCCTATGTCGATCCAGTCTAGAGAGGGTTTCGAGTACTATGTATCATTCATAGACGATTATTCGAGATTTGGGTACGTTTACCTGTAGTGCACCGCAAGTCTGAATGCTTTGAGAAATTCAAGGAGTATCGGGCAGTTGTGAAGAATCTTCATGGTAAAAGTATCAAGTCACTTCATTCTGATCGAGGTGGCGAATACCTCCATGAAGAGTTCAGGACATACTTATCGGAAGCTGGGATTGAATCCCAACTGACTGCACCCGGCACGCCCCAGAAAAATGGGGTTGCAGAGCGAAGAAATAATACTCTTATGGAGATGGTTAGGTCTATGATGAGTTATTCGAGGTTACCAGATTTGTTCTGGGGTTTGGCATTGGCAACAGCATCGTATATTCTGAACATGGTTCCATCGAAGTCAGTTGACACTACTCCTTATTAGATGTGAAAATGGCGCAAACCCAGTTTCTCAAAGTTTCGAGTTTGGGGTAGTCCTGCACACGTGTTAGTGCAGGAACCTGGCAAGTTGGAGAAACGTTCGGAAGCACGAGTTTTCGTAGGCTATCCCAAGGGAATGAAAGGTAGATTATTTTATAGTCCTGAGGATCAGAAGGTGATTGTTTTGGCGAATGTTAGATTCTTGGAAGAAGACTCTATTATGAATCATTAGCCCGCGATAGACTAGTCTTAAAGGAGTTAAGGGGTGAAATCGATGGTTCTCCACCGATTGCGCAAGTAGATACATCACATAATACTCAACACGGCACACTGAGAGTGTACCAGTGCAGACAGTGCCTCGTCGCAGTGGGAGGGTTTCTCATTTACCCGACCGATGGATAGGTCTTGGAGAGTCATTGGACTCAGTTCAAGGAGGCCTAGAATCGGACCTAAGAACTTACGATGAGGCACTCCAAGATAAAGATGCAGATTCATGGAATGTTGCAATGAAAGCTGAAATGGGGTCAATGGACTCCAATCTGGTCTGGGATCTTGTAGAAACACCCGATGGGGTACGACCCATTGGATGTAAGTGGATCTAGAAGAGAAAGAGAGGATCGGATGGGAAGGTGCAAACCTTCAAGCTAGGCTTGTTGCGAAAGGTTATACTCATATCAAGGGTATTGATTATGATGAGACCTTTTCGCCAGTAGATATACTTAAGTCCATCCGGATTCTCTTGGCTGTAGCCGCTCATATGGACTATGAGGTCTGGCAGATGGATGTCAAGACAACTTTCCTTAATGGAAACCTGCAGGAAGACATCTATATGCAGCAACCAGAGGGATTCATTGCTGAAAGTTGTGAGCATGTAGTGTGTAAGCTGAATCGGTCTATTCATGGACTGAAGCAAGCTTCGAGATCTTGGAACATCCGTTTTGATGAGGTGATTCACTCAATGTCTGGATGAGCACTGTGTTTACAAGAAAATCAGTGGGAGCGTGGTGGTGTTTCTTGTGCTTTACGTAGATGACATACTGCTCATTGGAAACAATAAGAAAGAGTTGTCAGACGTAAAGGTGTGGTTATCTAAGCAGTTTGATATGAAGCACTTAGGTGAAGCAGGACACATTCTTGGTATTAGGCTCATTAGAGACCGTAAGAAGAGAATGTTGTGTTTATCCCAGTCTTCATACATAGATACTGTCTTGGCCAGATTCAGCATGCAGGATTTCAAGAAAGGTATGTTACCTTTTAGACATGGAATACCTCTATCTAAGGAGATGTTTCCTAAGACGTCTAAGGAGATAGAGGAGATGAAGACAGTTCCTTATGCTTCGGCAGTAGGAAGTCTCATGTATGCAATTTTGTGCACTAGGCCGGATATTAGCTACGTCGTTGGCATGGTAGCTAGATATCAAAGTAATCCGTGATGGGAACATTGGTCTGCGGGGAAGCATATACTCAAGTACCTTACAAGGACTAAGGAGTACATGTTAGTTTACCGTGCAGGCAGCTTGTTACCTATGGATTACAGTGATTCCGATTTCCAGTCAGATAGAGATGAAAGTAAGTTAACCTCAGGTTATGTGTTTGCATTGGGAAGTGGAGCCATTTCATGGAGGAGTGCCAAGCAAAAATGCGTGGCAGACTCCACCATGGAAGTCGAGTACATAGCAGCCTCAGAGGCAGCGAAAGAGGCAGTTTGGCTCAGGAACTTCTTAGTGAACTTAGAGGTTATACCGAGTTTGCCACGTGGTATCACCATGTACTTTGATAACAGTGGAGCAGTAGCGAACTCAAAAGAACCTCTAGCCCACAGGACAAGAAAACACATAGAGCGCAAATACCATCTGATTCGGGATATCGTTGGTAGAGGAGACGTTGATGTTGCCAAGATTGCGTCAGAGGACAACCTAGCTGATCCTTTCACGAAGAGTTTGTTATGAGCATGGCAATAGGATCGACATAGGTCTTTTAGTCGAATCCATCGACTAAGTGGCTCGTGGAAGATTCTCGTGGAATTATGGAACAGTCGACTCGACTCGAACCAAATATGGAAACAAACACAAAAAGGACGACACACCAAAGACTCAACCACTTAACTCAACATTCACACCACTTACATAACATGAAAAGAGGACTTCATATATTAAATATCATGCCCAATTTCAAAGGTTAACATGTTAAACAAATAAATCGGGTAAATAGACAATTAATACTCATTTTTTAGATGACCTGATAAATGAACAAATTTGGATATGAAATTTGGACATATAATAAACATTGCTGAGAACATCAAATTCACCAAATTTAAGCCTTACCACCTAAACATGCGATTTTATAAAATTAATACAAGTTTTTAGCAAAAACAAGAATGTATTTAAATGACTAAGAAAATTAATGAATCTGAACCTAATATTTTTATTAAGGTAAATATAGAATGCTGGAGTGTTATATAAAAATTTCATGCATAAACAATAATCAAGTGAATTATAATAATTATTCTGAGTTTCAGCAGAATACACGTTTTTGATAAAAACTCAACAAAATGAATTCACACATTTCTGGGATTTTGACACCATGAAATATCACGTCAAATAAGCACTCTGACCAAGTTTCATGAATTAACATCAAGAATTAGATTTTACATGGATTGTACAACATTCAGCATATTTGAGAAAATAACTATTTACCCAAACAAATGACCTCCAAAAATAATGAAAATTTAACACAACGTACAAATGCATGAAGGGAGCAACATATCCAAATTTCAGAAATTTTCCGCATCAATACAATTTATAGTGTATTTTATAAGTTGCAGAAAACACATCATCTTTAAAAATTCATAACTTGAAAAATACAACTTCAAATTGAGCAAAGTCAAAACCGTTGTGATCAGAACACAAAGATGTTCCATTTTGCAAGATATTTCCACGAGATAAATTTATATCATAAGGTTTTTGAATTTATCCTCATGGATCTAAAACGTACACTACATGAAATAACAATTTGAATAACAATTTTTCCAAATAATTCCCTTTTCATGTATTCATTTAATCTCCAGCAATATAACACATAATCACAAGGGATTCATGAAGTTTAATAAGAAGAATTTACCAAACACCAAAGGGAGAAATAAACGAGTTCAGTTTCGGAAAGGCCCGATAATGATCAAGTCCTAAGGGTGGGAAAATCGTCCGCTTGGGCTTGCGTTTGTAGGCGGCTCGCACGTCGAGGGTGGTGACCGGAGATCCTTGATGGCTCGTGGCTGAGGGAAGTGGCGTCGAACGTGCCAAAGGGTTGGGCGTGCTCGCGGTTGAGAGCGGGGCTCGGGGCGCGGGCGTGCAGCGTCGCGTGCGGTGGGGCGGTCACGCGGCGTTAGCGAGGCGGAGCTCCAGGGGATTTTTCTGACAACAAAAAGGAGAGAAAAAGGAATATGGGAGCTCTAATATTTCTCAAAGAGAAGAGAGGGAGAGAGTGCCGAGAGAGAGAGGGAGGGAGAGTGAATGGGGAAAGAGAGAGAGAGTCTTCTATTTAATGAAATCAAAATGTAACCCCCTCCACATAAAATATGGTCATAAGGAGAGTGACAAGGGTCAAATGCTAATTTAGTGGGATAGGGTGTTACATAATTTGAATTTAAAATTCAAAAAGAGGTGCCAAGCATGCAAGGATGGGAGGGTGGCGGGTCGGGCGGCGCATGCAGGCCTAGTGCTTGAGGCGTACGCGCGGATTGGGAAAAGCCCGGGTTGGCGTGCGATCGATAATTAAATGCCCGACTCGGTTCAAACATTAATTAAATTAATTCGGCTCGATAATAAAATAAATACACTTAGGCAAATACGAGCATATAATCACGTAGAAATTAATTAATCGAGCCCAAAATAATTAATTCGAATAAAATATAACGATTAAATATCTCAAATAAATCCAAGACAAATGGGGCGCGACGGTCCTAAGACAACCACCAACGTCCAGCAACAATAACCGCAACTGATGACCGATCGGCCCTCCAGCGACCCCGACGTTCTCCTCCATCCACCAGCCACGTTCATCCGACGTTCTCCCGATTATCATTGGTGATTTTGAGGGAATTGACAATTCTAGGTAGTTGTTCTTTTCTCTCTTTTTTTTTTTTTTTTTTNTTTTGTGCATCGTGCTCAGATCTGGTTTTGCATGTTTATATTATTTATTGAGTGATTTCTAATAAATTTTCAATTATCAATTGCATGATATGTTAATATGTTGAATTGTTTGTGATTAGTTTTGCTATTTTTTTTTCTATTTTGTGGCATTAAAATGGGATTTGGTTGTTCTTTTGGGTGTTTGATTTTATATAGTTATTGTTTTTTGTTTTTCTCTATTCTTTGTGCAATTGCATGATATGTTTTTTGTTTTTCTCTATTCTTTGTGCAATTGCATGATATTTTTTTGTTTTTCTCTATTCTTTTGTTTTTCTATTTTGTGGCATTAAAATGGGATCTGGTATTTGATTAGTTATTGTTTTTTGTTTTTCTATTTTGTGGCATGATATGTTAATATGTTGAATTGTTTGTGATTGTTTATTGTTTTGTTTTATTTATAGGTTGTTATCTAAATGTAACCGCAATTGGAGTGTTAATGGAATTCTCAACATTCAGGTCACTTCATGGAATTTTTTTTTTTTTCAAACGTCCTTAGTTATGTCAATTCCCCAAATAAAGAGTGGCCAAATTCACTCAATACTTAGCAAACATTTAAACACTTACAGAATTCTAGTGTATTCAATCAAAACTTTTAGAGAATTCAGAAAAGTTTACATGTATTCAATTGAGACTTTTAAGAAGTCCTTAAAAGTCTCATGGTATTCAATTAAAACTTTCTGAAAGTCTCTATAAGTCACCTTGTATTCAAAATATGAATACTTTGTGAGACTTTTTAAATTGTGAGACTTTTGAAGACTTCTCTAACAAAATTACAAAGAGAAAGTCTCAACAGAAATCTCATCAATATTGGTGAGATTTTGCTGGACTTATGTGACTCTCTTCACGCTCCCTTTCTTTTTTCTTTCTAACACGTATTCTCATATCACTTTCATGCTTTATTATTTTACTCATTTATTTTGATATCTTGTATAATTTTTATTTCCATTACGTATATTTAACGTGATCTTTATTCTATATATTTTTTATTATGGTTATTTTATGTATATATACATTTATTCCTTCATTTTGTTATCTTGTGAATTAGATTTTTCAAAGGTTAAATGCTTCCATAGTTTGCACTTGCAAATAATTTATTTATTCTCTCTTTTTATTTGTCAATGTTTATTCTTTAATACGAATAAAATTATTTTATTTTCTAATAGTTTATTTGTTGATATTGAATTATTTTGAATATTATTAATGACTTTATAAAATACAATTAGTATTTTTCGACAATGTTTGTATCTTCCATAGTTCGATTCGTTGAAGCTCGGATTAATTTGCTCGTTTAATAAATCTAAAATCCTAAACAATTTTTAGTGAATAACTCATTTGGCATAACAATGAGTTGATTCATAAATTTCAGAGGACTAATTGTTGGAGTATACTGTAAAGCAAACTTTTACATGAGCTTTTGGATTGTATTATTCGATTTTCCATTTGACTGAAATAAATGTTTTTCACATTGTTGCATTCTTTATGATTGCTTGTATGCTAAATGTCCAATTATCTTATATTGTAGACAATGTGGTGTGTTAGTAGTCACACAGAAGATTACATTGTCGGTTCCTTATAAGATATAAATGGTATTCACAACTGAGATAGTTATGGACATGACTATCGGTGTAGGTTGTAGTATAAACTGGATGTAGCTTGTCTTGGCTATTTCTTTATACTAGTGCGCTGCGTCGCATAGAAAGGATCACAGTTAAGACGTGTTCTTCTGTTCTGACTATCATGAAGAATCTAGGTCTCGGTGACTCTACTAATTCTTAACCCTAACTGTGGTAATTAGATATATGGGATATTTGTTTGTTACTTTGACTTACCATGGGTGAGGACCAAGTATTGGTTCAATAGCTCCGTATCTTAGGTAACAACATTATCTGCATGATATCTATTTATTGGCATTAGGGCACCGTGTCCTGGACATCCAGGTTGGTGACGTCCCCTTAAGGAACTCATAAGGATTATCGTATAAACCCTGCAGGTGGATTTAATCCGTACGATAATAAGGTTGAGTGGTACTACTTAAGGATTAAAAGATATTAATTAATTAAAGCAGTCAGAAGCTTTAATAATTAATGGACGTGCGATATCTTAAACACGGGGAATTATATCGAGTCTAATAGAAGCCCTGATTCATTTCGGGATAGGACGGGAGTACAATATTAATTCTCTAGTGGAATGAATTAATATTTACGGGCCAAATTGTGTTCTGGGCTGAACATAAGAATTTGGGCCTGTAGGGAGCCCAAACCCTATACCTTCTAAGAGATCCCTAGGCTGGCCCAAGGACCTCTATAAAAGGAGGGATTGCACGTCTTCAACCCTAACACACATCACAAAACGTGACATTCTTCAGCCACCATCGTGGAGAAGTGACGTGAAGGGTTCAGATAAGACGAGATACAATCCGCTCTTTTCAACCGTTTGGTAGATCGTCGTCCATCCGGCGTCCAAACGTGGTCGGGACACAGACTAGAAGATCGCTCAGATCGAATCAAAGCCTTGAAGAAAGGTAAACTTTCTGTTCGTCCTTTAGGAGCATGCTTAGGGTTTAATCGAAATCATGTATGTACATGTTTGGTACCCGATATCGATCCGTGGGAAGGACCGCCTCGTCGGCGTGTTCCAGCAATTGGTATCAGAGCCAGGTTTCGTAGATTATCGGCTCTGCCTGGAACATGTAGTTGATTTCGTTTATTCATTTATTCGTTTTCAGTCATGTTCATGGTGTGGATGATGTTTTATCTCGTTTATGCTTATGGATGGTGTCTATCACAACCCTTGTGTATTGTTGTAATCGTTTTTCCCACCAGATAATAAGTGTGGGTAGTATAGGCGATTTTGTAGACTGTAGTAGGGCTGTTCTTGTTCGATTTTTGCTGTATTTTTGTGTTCAAAGTCGAACGTGATGAAGATGATCATCCTGGAGACGGCGGCTAGGGTTTCAGCGTTCACCGGGGCCAGTTTTGTCGGCGAAAACCGTTTTGGCCATAACTTTTGCTACAGGTGTCCGATTTCAGCCCATAATACCAATTCGGAAACTGGAGAACGAGATCTACAAGAGTTACGGCTATGCCGTAACAGCCTGTGGCGGGGTCAAATTCAATCGTCGAGATGAAGTTTTTGGCTCTTTTCCGTCGGTGGGTGCCGATACCGCGTGAATGGCCCGATTTGCGCGAGATGCCGATTCGAGTGTTCATCCATGACCTTGCTGAATCATGTAATAGCTTTGATAGGCTGTTAGTGGTTGATTTTAAGGGGCTGCGATAGATGTGTTTTAATTTTCGCATTTTATCGCTTTGTGGATGCCGATTTAATTTTTGCTAGAGCATGTTTATTTGTTTATGTGTCTAGCTGATTTAAATCGCTTTTCTGGCATGCTAGAAATCATGTAAATAGGTGCTTTTAATTCTTAGAAAGCTGTTATTGCTTTTATTTGAATTATAGGAGCATGCTAGGATTTATGTGATTTGCGTGTTAGGAGCATGCTAGGAATTTTATTATTTCTTATTGCATGCTGTTAAAAACCTTCAAGTAAAATGACTAAGTGAGTTTAATATGATTTTTAATTAATTCATTTGGCCTCCACAATTGGTCTTTAAGTAAGGTGTTTGTCGCTCGCGGGACCTTCGGAGTCTCCCCCTAACGGATGCGGCATTCACGAGCTTACTAGATAAGACTTCTATTCAAACGACTTAATCTTTAGGTGAAGTGAGTGGCATACGCGTGACCCATGGGGTCTCCTCCCTAACGGATAGTGTCATTCATAAGTTCACCGGTAAAGATTATTTCGAGATAACCTTAGAAAATTATTTACAAGCGATGTGTCTTCCCCTTCGGTAAGTTCATCAATTGTGAATGATTGTTCTTGGGGTTAAATTGTGGTCATCACTTAGATGTGAATTTTAATATAACTCCCCAACGGAGTCCCTGTTTTAATTCACATGGCCAGTGTTAAAAAATTTTCGACTATTAATTTCATTCGCCATAAGGACAGGTTGGCGTGTAATTGAAATTAATGACTGGATGTCTGCTTGATGGACATATGTGTAAACGTCCACCCTAACGTGGCTTGCATGTGTGTTTGTTTAAGTTGTCGAAGGATGCGTTAAATAATGGTTTTGAAGGTTTCCATATTTTATGCTTCAAATTTATGTGAATTATTGCTTACGTGTTTGCAATTATTTATTTCAGTTATTCATCATGTCATTCAATCCGCTTATGACCATTCTCAATCAAAACAAGCTTACTGGTCCAAATTATTTGGACTGGAAGAGGAATCTGGATATTGTCCTTGTTGCTGATGAGTACAA